GGAGGAGGAGCCAGAGCAGATGGGTGTGCAGCACACAGGCTTGCAGCCCACAGGCACACAGCAGGAGGGCTGGCAGCAGGAGGACTGGCAGCTAGGCTGCTGGCAGCAGGAGCCAGAGCAGATGGGTGTGTAGCACACAGGCTTGCAGCAAAGGGTCACACAGCAGGGCTGCTGGCAGGGGGAGCATGTGCAGCAAGCTGGCTGGCAGCTAGCCTGCTGGCAGCATGAGGGTGTGCAGCAGGAAGATTGGCAGCAGGGGCTGGACACACAGCTCACTGGGGTGCAGAGGAGGCAAGGGGTTGGGGCACAGCAGCTGGGGGCACAGCAGCTGGACTGGCAGCAGCTGGGGACACAGCAAGGAACACAGCAGCTGGGCTGGCAGCAGCTGGGGGCACAGCAGCAGGGCTCACAGCAGCTCTCTGGGCAGTCATCCACCTGCCAGGAGGCGTTGGTGCAAGCATCAGAGCAGACAGACATGGTGGAGGCGGCCATGGTGGGGTTGGCTGTTAGGTAAGAGCTTGTGAGTGTGTGTGTGTGTATGTGTAACTGCGTGTGGGACTGTGTGTGTTTTACATGGTAGGCTGTCGGCTTTTATACCAGACAGGCTATGCTTTTAGCCGGAAGCCTCTAGAACCTTCCTTCCTGGTGAGTATTTTGAGCCGCGTCCTGAAAGCCTTTGTTAATCTGTTTATTTACACAGGAGTCACTCCTGAGTTCCAAGTGCTGACTTAGCACTTTAGGGTGATGCGGGCATGGTCCTCTCAGGGGAGCCTGGCCCATGCTGAGTCTGGCTTTGTGACTATACCGGGTGCCTTGCTGTTCAGGCTGCTCCTCTGGGCAGTGGGCAGGCAGGAGTTCCAGCCTGGGTGGGCGGATAAAGTTGTGAAGCCTGCTAGCTGTAGACGCACTGGCAGGGAAAATGTCTCTGAACACTGCGGAGACCAGCCTGAGTGTCAGGTGGCACAGGTCTGCGGAGAATGAGACAGTAAGGGAAACCAGAAGGAGATAGATTCTTCCAGAACACAGCCTTCCCAGAACAGAGAAGAGACACCGTGGAGAAAGTCCCTCCGTTGTGGGGACTGTGCCCCTCTGCACCTGAAACTTAACAGTGTGCCGCGCGCTCGCATAGGCTGGGAACCTGTGCCTCATATGTACACGGACTCCTTGGGGGCATTCAGACTGCCCAGCAGCCAACCTGAGCCTAGTAGGATGGATGGTAACCTGAGCTGAGGCTGTGGGATGACTGAGTGTGGATAACACCAGGACAGGGGAGGGAAGTGGTCTCGGCTTTTAGCAAGAGGCTCTGAGAAGTCCCGTCTGGGAAAAAAAGAGCTAAAGCCAGTGACAGTAGGAACCAAGTGACCCTCCTAAGCCTGCAGGGGCAAGTTAGCCTGCCCACTTGGAGCCACCACCCACCAGACCCACTCCTCTTCCCTCCCCCCACCCCCGCCCTCGTTTAATCCATTTTTGTTATGATATCAAGATTCAAACAACTATGGCACACAGTTTATCTCTTTTTTATGGCTCTATAATATTCCACTGTATTGACATACCACAGTGTGTCCATCCAGTGACTGATAGATATTTTGATTGTCCCCTGTTTACTACAGACATGAATAGAGCCGCTGTGACCAATGTTTGTGTTTGGTGTTTCATGTGACAATGGGTTTTCTTTTCTCTAAAGACTCTGTGTAGCTTTCTTGGGTCAGGTGGTGGTGGATGAATGTTTGTATTCAAGATGCACTCTTCCTGAGGGGCAGGGCATCTGCATTCCACAGCAGTGTGATAGGTAGCACTCTTTGCTCTTTGCATTTGTGGCGGGTGCCCTCTCTGATGGCTGGTGCTGGGTTGAGTGTCTTTAACAGGCTCATCTGCCGAGCTGCCTTGTGTCCACAGAGCATCCTAGACACAGTGTGAGAGGACATACTTGCTACACTGGGCTTCTTAGTTTCATTGCCTCTAACAGGCTGTGGGGCTCCTGTGCTGTGCGCTTGGCATTTCCTGCTGAGGTCTCATCTGCTTCTCTTCTGCCCGGGCATCCTTCTTAATTGTATTATATATACATATATATGTATATATACATATATATGTATATGTATATATATGTGTGTGTATATATGTAATATATATTGTATAATGTATATTATATAATAAATACTGTATAATATATAATACATAATATGTAATATATAATAAAATATATAAAAAGCTTTCTTCTATATACATGTCTTCTCTTTAAACTTTTTTTCTTTTGACACAATGTACTGGCTGGTTTTGTGTGTCAACTTGACACAAGCTGGAGTTATGACAGAGAAAGGAGCCTCCCTTGAGGAAATGCCTCCATGAGATCCAGCTGTAAGGCATTTTCTCAATTAGTGATCAAGGGTGGGAGGGCCCATGGTGGGTGGTGCCATCCCCGGGCTGGAGGTCCTGGGTTCTATAAGAAAGCAAACTGAGCAAGCCAGGGGAAGCAAGCCAGTAAGTAACATCCCTCCATGGCCCCTGCATTATCTCCTGCCTCCAGGTTCCAGCCCTGTGTGAGATCCTGTCCTGACTTCCTTTGGTGATGAACAGCAATGTGGAAGTGTAAGCTGAATTAACCCTTTCCTCCCCGACTTGGTCATGATGTTTCATGCAGGAATACAAACCCTAAGACACACAAGGTCTCATGTAGCCCAGGCTACCCCTGGAAATCACTGCTCAGCTGAGGATGATTTGCAACTCCTGATCCTCCTGCCTCCACCTCCTAAGTACTAGGGTTACAGGAGTGCATCACCAACCATACCTGGCTCATGACAGTGTGGTTTAAATATGAGAGTTTAGTACCCACGAGGTCTGCCTCATCAGCCAGGGCATGTAGATATTCTGCTTGCATGTGTGTAGTGAAGGTAAAACACGCTCATTCACTCGCTCTCTCCCCCCATTTCCTCACTTCTTTCCCTATCCTCCCCCTCCCCCTCCCCCTCTCTCTCCCTCCCATAGGTTTACTGAGCACATAGCTGGGGCAGTGGTCTGGGCAGTGACAAGAGATCTGCCCTCTTTGTTACTCAGGGATCAGGACCAATGGGAGGGCTCACTGTTGCTTTATGGGAGAATTTCATTGGCAAGCGTGAATTGGCCGACTTTGTTCATTTTCTTTTTTCCTGGTGATTATGGCTCTACGGCAATTGCATATTCATTTTAAAACCAACCTGTAAATCTCTGCCAAGATGCTTGCTAGGAACCGGAAAGGTCTGCAGATATGCACGGACAGAGCCCTTCCTGAAGTATTCAGAAGATCTTTGCATCTGTTTCTTAGTTTCTAAATCTTTCCATGAGTTCTGCAACTCATGGGCTTAGCTTGGATATGAGAACGTCTGTCCCCCAGTGATGTCTGGGATTGATCGGCTGAGTATCTGGATGCCTGTGTCTTGCTGGAGGTTAGGGAGAAGGCGTTACACATGGTAATGTCAGCTGCGGGTTCCTAATAGATACCCCGCCAGAGTAAGGAAGTCTCCTCACCAGGGATTGTGGAGTGCTTTTATTGTGAAAGAGTGTTGGGATGTCCTAGCTCACTTTCCGCATGTACTAATAGGATGTGATGTTTGCCTTCATTGTATCGACACAATATATTACATTAGTAGATTTTTCAGATATTAATCCAATCTTTTATTCCAGAGAGAGAGAGCCCACTTAGCCGCAGCTTTAAGCAGCGCTGAGTTACTATGACAGAATGCCAGAGGCATTGTACCTATAAAGAGGAAATGTCACTTGACTCCTGTTTTGGAAGTTTCACCATGTATTGGTCCTTTTCTGTTGCTATGGTAAAACAGCATGACCGACACAATTTAAAGAAGAAAGAGTTTCTATGGGATTATGGTTCCACAGTGGGGCATCCATCATGGGCTGGTAGTGACAGATGAAGAGACAGTCGTGGCGGCTGGAGTAGCAAGCTGGGAGCTCACCTCTTGAACCACCAGTATGAAGCAGAGAGAGTGACTGCAAAAGGCATGAGTCCTTCAGCTCTCAAAGCCGACCTCCACTGATACTTTTCCTCCCTCAAGACCATACCTCCTAATCCTCCCCAAACAATACCACCAACTGGGGACCACATGTTCTAATACTAAAGCCTACGGGAGATGTCACATTCGGATGGTTACACACTACATGACTGTTTGGCTCTGATGCCTTTGGGCCTATCAGGCACCATGTCGTGGTGAGGATGTGACAGGAATCTGCTTACTTGTGATGGTTAGGAGAAGAAGAAGGAGGAGGCCAAGGTCCCAGTGACCCCTTCAAACGCATGCTCTGATGTCTTAGTGTGCTTTCTGTTGCTGTGATACAGGCCATGACAATTTGGGGAGGAAAGGATTTCTTTCATCTTACAGTTCAACGTCACAGTCTGTCATTCAAGGAAGGGACTGTTGCAGAGGCCATGGAGGAACACTACTTACTGGCTTGTTCCCCATAGCCTGCTCAACTTACTTTCTTAAATACCCTTGGACCCCCTGCCCAGGGTTGGCACCATGTCCAGTAGGCTTACATCAATCATTAATCAAGAAAATGTTCCGTAGACTTGCCAACGGGAATCCGATGGAGGCACTGTCTTAAATAAGGTTCCCCTTCTCAGATACCTGTAGCAAGTCGTGTCAAGTTGACAAAAATCTACTCAGTATATCCGATGACCTCACTTCCTTCCATTAGGCCCCACCTCTTACAGACATCACCATCTCCCAACACCACCACAGGATGGAGACCGAGCCTTCAGCACCTAGTTCTGCAGTGCACTGAAGAGCCACAGAATGCGTGCCCATGGCTCTGTTTCTGTGATGCTGGATTCCATTGCTGGGGTTTGCCGAGGGCCAATATGACAAAGATTTCCACTCAAAATATGCAAAGGACCCCGAAAAAGGACACATGAACTTGATTTTAAAATGGGCAAGAGAACTGGACAGACCCCTCACCTAAGGCATTTCCCACATGCTTGTTTCTGAGGTTGGCTTGAGAGTCATTTGTGCCCCAGAGTGGCTGGAGATGTGTCACCCCCTCTTCCGGTTTTCAGGAGAGGTGCTGAGGGTGGGTGTGCATTCTTCTTGGTCTGTTCCCACTGGGGTGTATATTTTCCTTCCGTGTGCTTCAGCTCTGCCTGGGTACCTGACCCAAGGCCTTTCTCTGCACAGGTGTCCACAGACCTGACCTGAGTCTCTCCCACTGCAAAGCTTGTGAGCCTCCTCTCTGTGATGGTTGAGGGTTAGTGTCACCTGACAGGATTTGGCATCCCCCCAGGGAACGCACTTCTGGACTTGTCAGTGAGGGTGTTTCCAGGGAGGACTGACTGGGGAGGGAAGAGCCACCATGGTGGGTAGCTCCATCCTATGGGCTGGAGAGCGAGTGAGCTGAGTACCAGCACACATCTCTGCTTCCTGCGGACTCAGTGTGCCTCCTCATACCCCCACCATGATGGAATGTTGCCGGGAGCCAAGACTTTACTGCCTTCCTGAGGGAAAATGCCA